GCGTTCCTCTAAGTCTTCCTACCAATATGACCAAGTTGCGAAAACAAGGTCAAACAACTTATATACAAAGGAGTGATAGTTGGATCTTCCACGATTAAGTCTTTAGGTCTGAATTTCAAAAAACCTTGTCTTTAAAAAATCTTTCACATCCAGGCTGAACTGTCGTGTTACCTTCATCTAGTTGTCATCAGCATCCCTCACAGTCCTCGAAACTGGATAAGGGGCCTTCTCGAGTTCTAATTTAGTCTAGCAAATAAAGCCCTATCCAAGTAGTAGACTCCTATCGCTGTGTATAACTTACATTATATATGCAAAGAAAAGTTGCGTTTCGAGGAATCGCTTGTTTCATACTTGTTGTGCTTACTTCCATTTCGAGAGAAAGTGTTTGGTGAGGAGTTTCGAAGGTCGATTCCACCAGAAGACGACGGAGGATTCCTCTTGAACAGCTGTCGATTGGCTTTATTGTAACATTAATGTTGGCACCGTTTCCGAAGTAATCTCCTTGATTCCAGCAAAAAGATGCTAAGCTTTCGTCCGTCATATGATGAACATCATCAGAGCAGGGAGGGTATCATCGTCACAACCAAATTCAAGCTAACGTGTCAAGAAAACTCATCGTTAAATCCCTAAAAAGCAGTATATAGACGCTTTATCTGGCCTCCTTGATTAGGTTTAAAGTGATTTGGTTAGTTAAGGTCATATGTCAACCTCGAAGCCCGTGAGTGTGTCTGTCTGAATGCGTATGTGCTTATGCTATTGAAGTATATATATATATATAGTATATATACTGCTTTTTAGGGATTTGCCAATAAGCTTTTTTGACTCGGTAGCTTGAATTTGGTAGTGACGATGATACCTTGCTCTGATTATGTTTGTCATATGACGCTCGAAAGCTTAGTACCTTTTCACCGGAATCGAAGGAGATTACCTCGGAAACAACGTCAGCATGAATTTTTTGGTAAAGCCAATCGATAGCTGGTCAAGAGGAATCCGCCGTTGTCTTCTGGTGGAATCGACCTTAGAATCTCTTCACCAAACACTTTCACTCGAAATGGAAGTAGGCACAATAACTTACATTGCCTCGTCTTCGCAACAGAAAGGAATCAAATAAAGGTAGAAGTGGGATAGTTTCGTTTTCGCAACTTGATCGTGCTATCAGGGTGACTCAGCTGGGCGCACATTGTCCGAAGTTCTCCGCTATAGTGGTTATCATAATTCACAGTCTCCACGGTCTGACGCTAAGAAGTATGATGACTACTATATCGGAGGACTTCGGACAAGGTGCGTCCAACTGAGTCGCCCTGACAGCACGATCAAGTTGCGAAAGCGAAATCAACCCACTTCTATACATCGAAAGGAGATTGCGAAAATACCGAGGGCACACCATCTTTGTCTCTTCATAGCTTCAAATAAAGGCAGTGTGTTCGGTCGTGTTAATTTCCGGGATCGAGTCGCTGACTTTGTAGCTTTCCAGATCTTTCTCTAGCGTCGCGGTCGGCACCGTCAGCTGAAGCCTTAAAACAGACTACAACACCTTGCTTCCCAGAAGGTATTATAATCCAGGCTGAAGCGGACTGCAGTTTTCAGCTGGCCTGGACTGGTCGTCCTAGCACCCTCAGCGGGACTCGAACCACGACAGTGCCGCGAGTGACCTTGTGTCAAAGGTCAGATGTGAGATTCAAGGGAGGCCAGGCATTTCCTCATATCAAATTCTGTGGTGGGCTTGTCCATGAAGCAAGGTTGTAGTTGATATAGCAATAGGATGGAGCCAAAGGAGGCACCACAGTTGTTTAGCGGAAAGTTTTG